GAGCTCTCTGGGATCTCTTTTATAAGGGCATCAATCCTACTCATGAGGGCTCCACCCAAATGCCCTAAACACCTCCCAAAGGACTCACCTCCCAAAAACTATCATTTGGGGACTAGGTTTCAACATATGAATTTGGGGCAAGGGGACACAAATGTCCAGGTTGTAGCAACCATTTCTGAGATGAAGCTGCCTTTTGGAAAGAAAACTCTGGCTGGCCAGTAAGACTGCTCACACCAGACCCAGCAGTAGGAGAGGTGAAAGCTGGTTTTCATGCCTTGGACTACCCCATTCAAATGGAAAAATCTTGTCATTACCTAACCCACGAATACTAGTCACCTACTCAGGGCCCTTATAGTCCCTCTGTCCCTTGTCTCTCCCTCTATCCCTATCACTTTTCAGGAAAGAATCCAAAACCTCATTAGAACTCTGGGGTTACTGCTCCAAGTTATTTGCATTTGTATTCTAACATCCTTCAGAGTCTTCAGTCTGAGTACAGCTCTCAAACTGAAATGTCAAGAATCTGCCAATTAAATGCAAGTGAGTAGGGAGACCTTACTGTCAGGTTACCTAAAATTGCTTCTGTGGAAAGTAGACTCATCAGCCTTGACAATGCGTCTTCTCTGATTCTGATTCATGCCTCCCTCCTAACGGTGAGTCCAAAGTCCTTTATGACCTCCATGCCACTTCCAGCATGTTAATTTAAGTTGCACATGTATCTCCTCAGATCATTCTCACCACAGGTCACATTAAGCTGAGAAACCTCCCTCAGTAAGTTATTACTGGGTGCTAAGTCTAGGTTTGTAGATGACAGTATGATGGAAGATTGATTCAACCCACTATCAACATAATGGACTTAAGATGCTCTCCCAAACAAGAGGTCATCACCAGTCACTGCACCGTCTTTCAGAGAGAACGCAGACCCACCCCACAGGTACATATTGCCAAAGACTACTGAGCATGTTCTCTTCACAACTCAAAGTCTTATTCACCATCATGTCCCCAGGGCCTCACACAGTGCCTGGCACACCATTTTACAAACATCAGCAAGGGCTTCTTAAGTGAAGTAATGACAAAGGAACAACTGACATTTCCAGTCTTGCTTCAGCTGGTGCCTCGCCCAGCTGAGCCAATCCTAAACTCTCTTACTCTGAAGACATGGCTCCAAACCTTATTCCCTGCTCTAAGACAAGAAAACTAAGGACAAGAGAAATGAAATGTCTCACCCCGGCCTCCCAAGAACAGCTATCAATCACTAAAAGGTCTGATTTATCAAATGGTACTCAAGATCTTCTGACATCTCTCCAATTACTAAAGACCTTTTTTAACCTATATTTCACAACATACTTTAATACATTATTTTGGTTGTATCATGAAAATCATGGCTTAAACTCTATTGAAATAGAGTATTACATACCCATTTGTCACATTCTTTTGTTGCTCATCCAATAGAAAACAGAGTTAGCTGCCCAATCTTGGTACACTAATTGCCAATGAAACTATGGAAATTATAATATTCATGTTGGCATCCAGTGGGCAATTTTTAAAGCATGAAATCGTCCCATTACATTTCATTTTAAAATAAGAAAATTAGTTCCTGCTTTATTTCCAAGGCCCCTGTTCACTCACTGTATTAAGACCAACACACTTCACTGCTTTGGTATTTGAACTGTAGACACCCACCGAATGTCACTTACCCATATGGTTCCTGGGCTCACATTTCAATGACCTAATGCAATTTGTAATACTAGTTTCTTAAGAGCTCCACAACCCTCTGCCCTTAATTATAGGTATGATTCTATCCAAAATCATACTACTAAGAAATCTCTCACTCAACTCCAACCTTATAGAACACTGTTGGCCACAATCTTCCTCATGAAGGATGTGGTGTGCCTAGAAATGAATTAGAATGGTCTGCAAATCGCCCTAGAGTTTAGGAGTAACAGCAGGTGGAATGCACAGCTGTAGTAATGGGAAGTGTTAAAACTGACCTTGGGAGTTCCTCCTCCCCACACTCATTTTATTATTAATGATCCTGGGATCATAGGTGTAGTAGGTGTTTGTTAAAAGGTTGAATAATTCACCTGTGAATGACAAGTGAGTTGCACTGAATTACGGTCTCTTCTGCAGTTCACCACATTTCTCTTATTGCCTTGCATAACTTCTTCTATATGGGTATTTGCCCTCCCAATTAATCTATTTAAATCCCTCAACTGATATGCTGTACTGATCCTATTTTCTTTTTTGTCTTCCGTCATTATCTGCCTCCTGTGACCAAAGAATGCAACTGGACATAACATCAAGCTCCCTGAGGGCCAGAACCCTGTCCACTGCTCTACCTCTAGGAGTGGGTACCGAATCTAGCATACCCAGGCTACACGCTGAGTAAGTGTTCAAGAGTGTAGGAATGAATGAACCAGTAAACAAAAGAACTGATGCTATAGGCCATGACAGAAGGGAGGAAAAAAAAAAAAAGAATGTGATTCTGAACAAGAAGTCCTTGGAAGAAGTTGGCATGGTGTATTGGAGGAACAGCTTCCTTACCTGTAAGTTGAAGACACGCCTGAATTTGCTGTAGGAGCAACTGAAATAATGTTAAGTGCGAGCTCCATAAAAATGGTAAAGTACTATTCAGAGACGGTATCTCGAATATGATGACAATAGATTGTGAATAAAATTAACTAAAGCTGGCAGTTAAGCTACAGCATAAAATTGCAGCAATCAAAGGGTTAATGCCAGAGCAAGGGTGTGGTTCAGACTTATGGAATGAGCTCATGGCCCTGGTTCAGACCTTACAGAATGGAGATGGGGAAAAGCTATTGCTCAACTCGGGAATCTAGAAAGAAAGCATCTCATTGCAAAGAACCTACAGATACAGAAGTGCTCCTTTTCTTGATTTTATTATTAGATGTTAAATCAATCATACAGAAATTGACATTTACCAGTTGACAAAGTAGGAGTTTTTCATATTTCAAAGTTACTAAGGTTAAGGTGCATGCCCAGATGAGTACAGGTCAACCTCCTTTGCTTTTGTGAATCCTTTCCAAAAATTATTCTAGACTCTTCACCACTGTTCCCTGTGTGGTTACAGTTCAAATGAGAGACCTGAGAAATGACAAGTGGCCAGACAAGATATAGAGCAAATAAACTGAGCTATGTGTCAACATTTTCTAAGTCAGGGCATGTGTTCCCCAGTTCAACTCCTAAAAATGAATTCTCATTGCTTAGTGAGATTTAAAAAAAAAAAAAAAAAAACATAAAGTAATAGTTGCATGGTTTTAATATACACTGACTTTTCCAGAAATGTGCTTACTATGTAAATCAAGTCATGACTAAGATTTTGTTCAAAACTTTATCAGGAGTTGTGCTCCATTTCAGAATATCATATCCAATGTTGTTCTTGATATTGCCAACACAATGCTCATTGATCTGCATTTGTAGCTCATGACTACACACAGGGGTAAGCATCTATGATTTCATCTTATCATCTAGGATGGCAAGACCGAAGCCTTCTGACTGAAGCCCATGTTATTAAAAACTGCTTTTCCTTTTTTCTGCTTTGTACTAAAGTTAGGATACTATACTCATTGTTTAAAAGTATATATGCATTTGGGTCATATGGATATTGAATTTTATTTTAGAATAACCAGAACATTTGTTATAAAGGAACACTGAATCTGCAAGCATTGAGAGAACAACTAATCTCATCCAACCTACACACTCTAAAATAAAACTGAGACTCAGAGAGGCGGAGCAACTTGTTCAAGGCCACACAGCCAACTGATGACCAAGCCAGAGCTGGAACTACCTAAACACCAAGTCCTCCTTTCAGCAGGCTGCCTCGCCTCGATGCGATGACTACATAAAAACACACAGAGGGAGAAAAATGAACCTCACATTTGAGAATGAAGTTGGTGACCATTAGACCTAAGGGACAGGGCTGGAGGAGGTCTCTCCTCATCTCTAGCTACCAGCACAAGGGACAAGATGGTTCAGAGAAGTTCTTGCTTTGGGTTTGTCTTGTTTTGTTTTGTTTTCCACCTAAAAAGCATTAGGTGCTAGTTTAGGCACCGAGTTTATGCAGACCAAGCTGTGGTCAATTCAGAGTTTCTCTCCAAAAGGCACACAGAGAAAGCAGTCATTCATGTCTTATGTCTAAGACCACATTAAAGTGTGGGGGGCGGGGGGTGGGAGCAGGCAAAACATCACTTATCTTGGGAAAGCTACGTTCTGTTATTACATTAAACCTGAACTTTTTCAACAGTCCTTCACAGTAAAGAAATCAAGGTATAGCGGGTCAATTTAAAAATCAATAAATGGTACCCCTAGTTTTAAGGCCCAAGCTTAGATATTTTTAGTCAGATGCACTTCTTAGGAGGTCTGAATTTGCAAACAACTAGGTGGAACAGATACAGCACATGTCCATGTCGTTTCTATATGTAACATGTACATTAAAACTGTATGAAACATTCCCACCAGTTAAACACGAAGTAATTAACATTTCTCTTAAAGCTGGCTTCCAGCCAAATCACTTCTCCCCATTTATGAAGCAAGAACATTTCCTCAGGTAAGTAGCTTTGGCATTGGTACCCAACTAAACCAAACAGGGCAGTCTCAAATCAGGAAAAGAGAAGCCAGTCAGTGAACTTGATTCTCTGAAATCAATGCCATCTACGTGTAGCCTGAAGTCACCACTACTAGGACAAATTCCCCAGCCTGGGATTAAGGCCGTCTTCCAAACAAAAGAAAATTAAAACACTCAATATTGTTTCTAAGCCTTAAGCTAATACCAGCAATTATAACATTTATGATTCATCTGTAAACTAAACTGAATCTGTCTTTTGAACTCCACTTGGCAAATATCCTCCGCTTAAGTTTCTACAGTTGCCACAGAAGAGCCTAGTATTTGAGGATGAAAACCCTGAGGGACTTTGCTTCAAATGAATATGATCCTAAACACCTATGCAATCGTTTTTATCAAAGTAATGGAATTTGTATCTCTAAAATAAAATAAAATGCAATATATCTGAAGTTACAAACATGCTAAGCCAAAACATTTAACTCTCCGTGTGGAGGGATACAGAGAATTGCATTTTCACATTATCTTAAGTGAGTTCTGAGGCAGGCACAGGAGACAGGCACTGGGGAAGTTGCTGGTGCAGATGTACTGTAGCAAAGGGACACGTCTGTTGGCTTTAAAACCCTAGGGAAAAAAACAAAGAGTTCTTGATTACGGTCACCTTCTTAGACTCTCTTTTGGAAGGACCTAAATGAAAGTGGGGGGACGGATCTGGGTCTACATCGATAAAACCTCTCACTCAGAGGCTCCTCCCATGTCACCCAAGGGACCCGCTAGGGCACCATCAACGGAAGGGCCCAGAAATGAAGGTGTGAGGTGGAGGTCAGAGATGTTCCCTGGGAGGAGAAACATTCATTTTGCTGCACGGGGCTGAGGGTTAAGAAGGGTATCAAAAAGCCATCTAAACCTTCCCACTTACTCGGCAATCCGCATCTTATTGGAGAAGGGCTCCGGCTTCGAGATATCTGGAAAATACAGAGGAGTCACGTGAATGACACAGGAGATGGAGCTCAAAGAATGAATCCCTTTGACGCTTTATTCCTAAAACCAGCTAAATAGTTGTTCTGAGGCACTTTAGAACTATGATGGTCAACTCTGAGGTTGAGCAATGCGAGTCCTCTTATACGTCCTGAAGTAAATGGGCCCTCAATGTGGTTTCAATCATGTCATTCAATAAAATCTGGGCTCAGTGGCCTAAGCTGGTTTGTTTGTTTGTTTTAATAGTTGCTGAAGACATTGAGATTGGGTGCTCCGTGGCCATGTCGAATTCAACACTTTCCAGAAAAGAGTTATTAATAGTAGTATGATTACCCAATTAAAGCTAAAATGATCAAACGCTCTCTATCAGATCTCTATATGAATCATGTCCTGTGTCCAAAACCCTGGAAAGAATCATTTTCCAGAAAATCTCACCTTTGCTTTCAAAGCAATTTTTTTATTTAAAAACGTTTTAAAATATTTTTATTTTAAAAATTTAAAAAAAAAACTTTTTTTTAAGATTTTATTTATTTGACAGACAGAGATCACAAGTAGGCAGAGAGACAGGCAGAGAGGGCAGGTGGGGGAAGCAGGCTCTCCACTGAGCAGAGAGCCCAATGCGGGGCTCGATCCCAGGACCCTGGGATCATGACCTGAGCCGAAGGCAGAAGCTTTAACCCACTGAGCCACCCAGGCACCTGAAAAAGTTTTTAAATTTTTTAATTTAATTTTAAATTTAAATTTAAATTTAAATTAAATTTATTTAATTTATTAATAATGATCATTTTATTATTTATTATATATTTATATACAAGAAAATTATTTATTAATTTATTGATTAAATAACTTCATTAATTAAATTTATAATTTAATTTAATTTAAATTATTTAAAAAATTAAAAAATTTATTTAAAAAATCTCACCTTTGCTTTCACTAAGCAAAATCCACTGCCTATACCTAGACACCTGTTATGATTCAGAAATAACTGACTACAAGCAACATTCTTGCTCTGAGCTTTCAAAAACTTTAAATAGACACTAACAAAAATGAAAGCTGTTCTGGATGCATCAAGACCTCATAAGCCAAAAACCAGACTAACTAAAAATATTTGTATTTTATTTTGCAGGTGTACCCAATCACTGTAAGGAAAGGACAGTGGAAAGGGCCAGAAAGTGGGCAGTGGCTTCACCATTAATAATATATTTTAGGGGCACCTGGCTGGCTCACTCAGTAGAGCATGCAACCCTTGATCTCAGGTTTATGAGTTCAAGCTCCACATTGGGTGTGGAACCTACTTAAAAAAAAAAAAAGAATGTATTTTATTTTCATCTAAAGTTTAAATTATTTGATTCTCCTTGGGCACAAAGCAGAAAAGAGAAGGGGTGTGAAACATGCATGAGGGTTTTATTCGAGGGACACTGCCCACCAATAAATAAGCCTTCCAGTGAGAGTCCAGAGGGAAAATTTGCCCTGTCTGTGAATGCTTGAGGTGTCTAATACTGCTCTTTGGTAAGCCATGTCATCTTAGAATAAGGAGATTGAGGTTCTTGCAGGATAAAATTCTCAAGACTTCTTTTTTACTTTTCAGTCCATTAAATGCACTATCCTTTTGCTTTTACCCACCATAAATACTTATTCATGAATATGGATGTCAGTTATATTAAAATCTCTATGAGGAAAGATCTGTGACAGATACATGCCTTTTCCATTCTCAGGCTATTTCCTTTTTCTGGATATTCCTCCTTAATTTCCCAGCTCATTGAAATTCCATCCATTCTAAAAAACCAAATCAAGTACCAACTTGCCCATGAACCCCTTCCTCACTACCAAGTCCAGAAAGAGTCCCTACCCCCTCTATGGCTATAGTCCTTCATGCCTCTTGCATGGATGGTGGCATATACCACACTTAGTGACTTTGTTGAAATCATGTTGATCTTCCTATATTGAAACCCATTCAGGGAAGAGACCATGTTTTCATCATGTTTGTGTCCCCTCCCTGCAAATCTAGCATCCATTAGAAAAGGAAATGATATTTGTTAAAGAGCATGTTGAAGTAATAGATGCTCACTAAACTGAGAGAAGTAGACCTTATTAACGGAGGGTGGGGGTGGTTGTTTTTTTATTTTGTTTTGCAGAGGAAGTTTTAGAAGTTTATGGCATGAGTTGCATGACTAGAGATAATTCCAGATAACTGGAGCCCTGCCAACTGCAGTTCTCCTCCACCACTCTCCCTAAAATAAGACTGAACAAATATTTAAAGAATTTTTATTCGAAGGAACAGCAAATTACTAGCCAATTTGGTGTCCAGATGTCTTGATCCAGTCCTGTACTCAAAAGGCATTGACTAAATATTATTTGTAGAATAAATCGACAGTGGTGAAGCATAATAATGTTTTTGGTTTTCAAAAATGTTTTTGCTGTTATTTTTTTTTTTTGACAGAGGTATTAGTAATCCTCCCAAGAACTAATACACAAGGAGACCAATGTTATTCTTCCTACTTTGAAGTGTGGAGGAAAATTAATACTTACAATGCCCTTTACACAATACTGGAATCTAGACCATTTGAGCAATTTCTCGAAACTCGTGCAATAAGTTGAAGAGAAACCGAGGACCTATGTTTGGGTCACTCCGTCCTCTGTTCAGAAGACTGTATCTCTTTCCCATTTTCATTCCAAAACAAAAATAAAACTACGAAATATGCAAAGTCTATTATTCTTTGAAGTAAGTAAGGAAAACATGACCTCTACTTCCTTCTTTCTAGAATGATAAATTTCTTAGAGCGAGGTAGCATAAAAATCAGTGTGGGGTTATTGCAACAGGTTCTCTTTCTACCTATAGACTTATAATCCCCTCTTGTAGAGGTGACTGTTGGAGATAAGAATGTCAACCATAAGATGCTTTACATAAAAATTATTAGATATATACCGTGCTTAAACCAATACGGCTACGGGGGCAGACGGGGCTTAAACTCCTGCTTCGACATCGACTTACAGATCGCACTGAATTCCACTAAAGAGAGAGAGAGAGAAATAGTAATTTGTGAAAGCTCGCATGGCTTAAAACAATATGCAATCCCATGGAGTAGGAGGTTTTCCTGATACGATTACACTTGCCCATTACTGGGCATCAGTCAGCATGAGACACACACTTCACTACAGTTCCTACAGCTACCCAATATTTGACAATAACTTCAGGGTGTTTCTCAGATAAAACCCCATTACAGTGAACTTTGGGATACTCAAAGTCTTGGTGCTAGAATTTCATTTTGATGAGTAAATCATTAGAAATTACATTCAAGCTTGTAAGTGTCAGAGAATATAAGCCCCATGTGGGCAGGGATTTGGGTCTCTTTTGTTCATTGCTGAATCATAATAGTCATAAGTGACTATTGAATAAATGAATACTGTTGGATGAAATGAATTAATGAATGAGGGAGGGAGAGAGGGAATCAACATGGCTGCCCATCTACTAATGAAAGTAATGAATAAGAAAACTATATTGACTATAAAGAGATCTTACTAGCAAAATCCTTCTTACAAATTTCCCTTCATTCAACTATTTCTTTTATTCCAAGTACTTCCTTTTAGGGTTTTCACATTTTGTTTTAGGAGTTTAAGCTGGGGAAAACGTTGGTGATATGTTTGAGCTGAGGAAGAAGGAAATTAAAATGCCTATTTGATGTAGGAAATACAAATAGTGGCTATTTCCTCTCCCTCCCTTCCAAATTGCATTACAGAGAGTCCACAATTAGAATTTCTTAACAGAAAGTTATAGTTGCAGGAGCAAACAGCATGTTTTATGAGTTCATTCATCATAGACCATGGTGGCTGTCAGATCAACCCAACCCAATTTCTGTAGGTTCAACTTTCATAGTACAAAATAATTTATTGAGATACTATTCACTATAGTGGAATGTTTAAGATGCAAAAACCCTTAAGTTCTTTTAAAATATTCTACTCCTATTCTCCCTTATGTTAGGAAAAATGCCATTGAAGCACTTCTCTATTCTCTCACTCAAAGAGAACGGGATCTGAGCCAACCCAGATGGTGGTTTTACGCTGGACTGAAGAGCTTCCCTTTAGAATTCACTTAATTCTTTCTAGGAAGGGTAGGATAAAAACTCCATTGTGTGAACTACATGGAATACCCAAGCCCCCGTAGCCACCCAGCCCCCACCACAACACACATTAATACACTTTCGTAGCTACAACTCCATTTTGAGGGCTGCTCAATTATTTACCACGTTCAAAACATTTTACAACCATTGCACGCAGGAAGTAACCCTCCAAAACTGATGTGCCACTCTCTCCCCACCTCCTCTGCCTTCTTTTTTCATCCCTCCCCCCCTCCCTATACACCATACCAAGGAGAGAAAAACATCACATTCATCGTTTCCCAACATGGATAATCGTCAGTAAAAATTTGGCCAACTGCTTCCTGAAAGTTAATTGATCACTTCCCAAAGCTTAGAATCATAGAGGGCCTCCAATAAGACAAGCTCAAAGAGTTTTGCCTTTATAATAACATATTTCTAAGATGGAGGAGGCAAATATGACTAGTTTCATCTTATAAACAGAGCAACAGACAAAGAAGTCACTGCCAGGAAATTATGAAGAATCATGGACGAATCAAAGAAAGGAATCTCTTCTTTCCCAACCAGTATGTTTCCTCTCCTTTGTATGAAACCTTATCAAGCAACTTTAGACTTCCTCTATAGAATCTCTGGGTTTATAAATGTTCTCGAACTTGTGAATCAAACACTTGGGATGAATTGTCACTATGCAAGGCCACCGTACAAAAGCCCCTCTCTTGGTTACAGCTTCTCCCTTCATAATGACACAGTCATTCTCCATGAGAGCAGGCCACACGTGATAGAGGACCAAGGGAGCAGTGAAATCAGAGTCATAGCTGCGACGGTACCTATTTTAAACACACAAAAGAACAAAATAAAGGTTAAGTTATGATGCAGTATAACTGGAGGTCATCAGTGTAAGTTTTCATTTTTTATTATGCTCAGTCTAGATGAATATGGATCCTGATTCTGTTACCAAAGAGATGGTTGTGGGCTCTTAGAATAGCAACCAGGGATAGGACTCAACATGGACTCGCATAGAACAAGCTAGATCAGGCTAAAAGCATTCCTTCCTTTCTCAGAATTACAAGTTACCATTCAGGGAAACACAGGAGACAGAGACATCTGAAATCCTATAGGTATCCTGAAAGATTTCTCATGCTCTCTTTGTGGACAAAATAAGAGAAATGTAGGTGGATGATAGACTTAAGTAGGTGGGTTAGAAACTGGTTCAATGATCATACCCCAAAGTGAAATAACTAATGAGTCAATAAAACCTTGAATTCGGCTCTCTCTCAATCCTTTGATAAGTAACATGTTCACCAATGACCTTCATGAACTGTAGGTAAATCACTCAAAGGCTAGGGATGGGTAGGAGAAGAGAAATGACAATATCAAGAAAAAGCTCAACAGGGGTGCCTGGGTAGCTCAGGGAGCTAAGCCTCTGCCTTCAGCTCAGGTCATGATCTCAGGGTCCTGGGATCGAGCCCCACATCGGGCTCTCTGCTCAGCAGGGAGCCTGCTTCCCCCCACTCTCTCTTTCTGCCTGCCTCTCTGCCTACTTGCAACCTCTCTCTCTGTCAAATAAATAAATAAAATCTTTTAAAAAATAGCTCAACAGACAGGAACAATAAGCTGAATCTAATAAGACACAGTGTGGTGTGGATACATATGAGGTTCTGTAATTGAGTCCAAAAAGCATATAATTGCACAGATAGAGGTGATAAAAGACTTAATCATGGTACAAGTAAACAACAGGTTTCAGTTGAACTCAAAATGTTCAACAACAGTGTTATATAACTGAAAAAAAAAAGCAGAAAACACTAGTACAAATTAGCTGGATTAACAGAGAATAAGAATGGAAAGGATATTAGTTTCTCTAAACTGCTCCATTCAAAGCAGGGGACTACATTCAGTATAGACACAAATAGGAATACTCAAAAGAGCGTGGAGCACAGGCCAAAGAAACTGCTCTATCAGGAAGTCTCAAATCCCCTTTATATGGGAAAACCCAAAGCCATGAGGCCAGAAGTAGGAAGATATGAGGAATTGCTTCAAATACGTGAAAGGCTGCCAGGGTTTTTTTTGTTTTTGTTTTTGTTTTTTTAAGGGTTAAACTTGTTCTGTGACATCCTCCAAGTAGAACCAAGTAGTCATTATTAGGAAAACCAGTTTCAGCTCCACAGCCTTCCAGAGGTACAGGTTACAGACTGCTCCACAAAGCAACACCTTCTATCTGATTAAAGGCACGGAAGCAGGAGACCCCCAGAGGTCTGTGAAATGTGCAGATTCCATAAACTAAAGTGCATGAACATTTTTGAGTGGTTCTATGTGTTCTGCAATGGAGAAAGGAATACGGGAAGAGGGATGAAAATAATATGCTCTGTAAGGAAATAAAAAATGTCAATTGCAGTGTAATGTTCTAATAGCCGCTCTTCCATGAGTGGACACGTGTTAGGAGCGATGATCTGAAAGAAACCAGCAACAGGGCAATGGCAGGAAAATATGGCAAGCTAGAAGGCCATTGGAAACACCATTATTGTGATTTGGATAAGCAAAAGAAAGGTATGTAGTCTCTGTCATCAGTAGCTCATAGGAACATTGGGCCACCACCGTCTATCTAAACAAAGACCAAGAGCTAACATTCCCCGAGTGCTCACGACATGCCAAGCAGTGTCCTTTTTTGTTTTATTTTTAAAGATTTTACTTATTTATATGAGACAGAAAGAAAAAGTGCACAAGCAGGGAGGAGGAGTAGAGAGAGAGAGAGAAGCAGACTCCCCAATGAACATGGAGTCCAATGTGGGACCCAATCCCAGGACCCCAAGGTCTTAATCAGAGCTGAAGGCAGCCGCTTAACCAACTGAGGCACCCAGGCGTCCCCATGCCAAGCAGTGTCCTAAGTACTTTCCCTGAATGAGTTCAACTAACCTTCTCCAGACCCAGGAAATAGGTATTATTATTTCCCCCATCTGACAGAGAGGGAACTAAGGAACAGAAAAATTAAGTAGCATGCCCCAGGTTACAGAGCTAATTGGTGGGAGAGCTGGGATTTGAACCCAAGCAGCTTGATGCCAGAGCCTCAAGCTTCACAGTGTTCTTAACCACTAGCTTGGCCTCCTCCCAGTAACCTCCAGCTGTATCATAAGATCCCATAAAGTTTCAGTAAAATGTTTTAATTTAATTTCTTCTAATTTATATAGGAAATATCTACCATGTAAAAGCTGATAGAAATCCAATTGTCCCAGTGGTGAGTCTCAAATGCTGGTGTGCACAAGGAACACCTGGGTGTTTGTTAAATGGCAGATTCTTCAGCCCCACTCCAAACCCGCTGCATAAAATAGCATGGGGTGTGATCCAGGAGCCTGCCTTTTTAACAAGACTTGAGTAATTCTGACACAAGCGATATATCTCTGTGCCCTACTTGGAGACACCCAGCCGAAATACTGCAGTAGAAACCAGTAAAAAGGAATACACATTCGTGTTCCTTTTCTGAGTGTTTTCAGGGCAGCCCCTTTTCTTAGTGTTCCAGACAGGTTCCGGGTACTCATTAGCTCTCCCCAAGACCAATATAGTCAGCGGAAATGATAACATCACCTCTGAATCACATTTGACTGGGAAAGAGAACGAGCCCACAAGAGGGGTCTGCCCTGTGGCGTCTGCCCTGTGGCACAGAGAAGCACATGGCAGGGACCGGAAGTCAGCTCATGTCTGTTGATTTCCCCACCCAGAGCTCTTTTTCCTAAATTGCTTCCAGGCAATAGAAAAAAGGTTATTTATTGTTAAAAAAAAAAAAAAAAAAACACACACAAAAATCCCTTAGCTTGTGCTCTTATGTCTCTTACTTGCAATCATTAAAAATTTCTCCATCCGCCCCAAATGCAATATCTAGGGGTGGGTCTAAAGCCTGCATGGCAAAGGCAATGCAACATATCTCCTGGATGAAGTTGCTGAGCAGGCAAAAGTCAACTTCAGGAGGAAATGAAATCTTGGGATTGACATTCATGGCTCGGATCACATCCTGGAAAACAAATAGAGGGCATCCCCTTGTTACCAACCTGTGACAAGAAGCTCTGACATCCAAAGGGGGTTATGATGGGTCGGGGAGGTTGGGGCAGAGAAAGAGCACATGGGTGAAGATACTGTAAACTAGGAAACTAGTTTGTAAACTAGGAAAGCTGCACACGTACTAGAGGAGAAAGAGTCCCTAATGGGGAAAGAGGAAAGATGATGTAGAGGACAAATGGCGTACTAAAGGCCAAGAGAGTCTCTCCCCCACCCCCACCAAACTAAAACCAAATACACTGAGTGGCTTTTATTCATTATTTCCTCTATTTTCTATTCCGGGCAAGTACAGGAAGTGCCAACTTGTTCCTAGTCTAGAATAACAGCAGTTATAATAGCTTGGACTTATTGGGTGTTTGTTATGTGCCAAGTCTTATGCTAAGCAAATTACTTGCTTGTTTTTCACTTAATCCTCTCAAGAACTCTTGATGGGTTCATGGCCATTGTGGCTCCCATGTAAAGGCTGGAAAACTGTAGCACAAACAGGTGAAGTAAATGTGCAAGGTCAGACAGCTAGGATGTGGCACAGCCAGGGTGCAAGTCTACACCGACCTTCCCCAAAGCCATTGCTCTTAAGCCCTATGGTATTCTAGCTCCAGTCTTAAGAACCCATCCAAAGACTAGAACTATAAAGGTCAGACTATTTTTTTCCCCATAAAAGTCTAAGAAAGAGCCAATAATGACCAGTTCTACAAAGTCAGTTGGCCGCTGCTCATTTCTGCTATCCCGTCCCATAAAAGCAATCCTGAACACTGGGTGGATTTCTGAGTTATTGGTCTTCCTTGGAAAGAGCAGCCGCAGCACACCAGTCCTGCTAAGAGACCCAACACTTACGTTAACACTGCTTTGGGAATCATATAGATCGAGATGACAAATGACATAATCCGAGACAGCATCTTCAAAGTTATTCGACCCCGCGAGAGACGGTGTCAACGATTTCCTCACACGGATCTTGAAATGTCTGAATGCCATCTTAGCTACATGGAATGCCTCCTGCACGTAAAAATGCAGCCAATTTATTAGGTAGAAGAAGGGGAGTAAAGAAATCCAAAGCAAGAGACGAAGGAAGAATACCCACCAAAAATTCAACATCATGTGGGTCTTCTGAACATTAAATACAGTTGATCAAAACTAATTTTAATCTGGGAGAAAATATATACCTCAATTTTGAAAAGTACATAAATACATCTGTGACTATGCATGTTCACCTATTTCAAGACAGTTGATCATTGTTCTAGTAACCTCAAGTTCGAGAGGCAGCACAGTGCAGAGGTTCAAGGAAACAGATCGTCTGTGGTTAAATAAACACCTAAAAAGTGCTGATTAGGGGGCGCCTGGGTGGCTCAGCTGGTTAAGTGCCAGAACCTTGATTTCGGCTCAGATCATGATCTCAGGGTCATGGGATCGAGCCCCATGCAGGGCTCTGTGCTTAGCAGAGTCTGCTTCTCTCCCAGTGCCCTTTCTCTTTCTCACTCAGATAAGTAAATACATTTTTTTAAGTGCTTGTTGATGCTATGATCCCACCACAATGTCATATTATCAATGAAATGAAATTATCAATTTGTGTTTATGTTATAAAGACACATATCAAGTATCTGACAAGTTTCCTGGTGTATATTGATTCAACAAACATTTATTAATGCCTGTTATGTACTAGGCACCAAGCAAACTCAGTTACGCATGAGAGACATGGCCGTTAAGCTTACAGAACCTTCACCAACTTCTTAATGAAATGAACCACGGTTGGCAAACTTTTTTCTGTAAAGAGCCAGAGATTAAACGTTTAAGGCTTGCCTAAAATACATAGTCTTTTGTCACATTTTTTTTTACACTCTTCTAAAAATGTAAAACCATTCTTATATTCTTAGCTCTTAGGTGGTATTTTCCTTAGAAATAACAGGCCAGGACAAGATCTGGCCCTCAGGTCATAGTTTGAGGACTCCTGAAATAAATTAATAATACAGGATAACGCTCAGTAGACTCCGATAATTCTGCTCTCATGCCAGTGTTTCCTTTTGTTTTTAAATATTAACTGTTTTTCTCATTTCTCATAACGGACCCTTACTATCTCAGTAAGGTACCCACAGAACAAATACCTTTGCTTTGAGAACTAAGGATTCTATATGAGCCCTTTTAATCTGCCATCCTCAAGTTCCTCATGTCCTAAAAGTTTTAGTAACTACTCTTAGTTCAATAGACAGAAGAGATAACACAAGTCAGCCTTCTGATTTGAGAAGGAAAGGAAATCAGTTGGAAGACTGGTGCAAATCAACATACTTTATATTCATAGTTTATATTCATTATATTATATTCATAGTTTATATTCATTTGAGATAATCTTATATTTACGGATACTTCTTCAACAAATGCCTGGGCTGTATAAGTATTGATATATATGAAGAGTTCTTGACTGTGAAAAATTAGCCATCCCAAATATTTGTAATGGGAGGAAGGAAGGGAGGGAGGGAGGGAGGGAGGAAGGACAAGAGGAAGGTGGGGGGAGGAAGGAGAGGAGGAAGAAAGGAAGGAACGAACGAACGAACGAAGGAACGAACGAACAAGCAAGCAAATGGAGAACCCACCCTCCCTCTGTGACCTCAGGCCCAGGCTGTTCCTTCAGGCTGTAGGGTCCGGTTTACGCAGCACCTTCTCCCCGCTGCCCACCCCGCCCCCGCCCTCCAAGGGGCAGCGCACCGGCGTCACCTACCACGGTGGCGATGTAGATAATCCTCTGCACAGTCTCGGCTTTGTCAATGCAGCGCCGAAGCAGGCACTGCGCGTCCAGGCGGGCCTGGGAATAGGCGTCGCTGAACCGGGACAGGAGGGCAGCCTTGCGTGCCACGTTGGACATTTTGGCGCGATTCGGCGACGGGGTCCTGATCTTCACAACGGCGGTGGAGGGGCTGGTGGACCGGCTGCGGCTGCGGCTGTGGCTGCGGCTGCGGCTGCGGCTGTGGCTGTGGCTGTGGCTGCGGCTGCGAGGGCCAGGGCTGGGAGTCCGGCTCCTGGCCGACCTGTTGGCAAGCAAGAAGCAGCCGGAGAAGCACTGGGATTCGCTTCTGGCCATGTGAACGGCAAGGGACACCCATGAGCCGCTCCCCGCCAGGGGGAGCAGCTGCCCCCACGAGCTCTTTACCAGGCGTCAAGTACACGGTCATGCGCTCTCTATCTGCGCGGGGCTTCGTGCCTCACCTTATCCTTGAAGCAGCCCTTGGAGCTCAACATGCATTGTTAGCCATTCTAAGGCCAAGGAACCTGAGGCTCAGAAAACTAAAGCAACACCACCAGCAAGCCAGAGTTAAAGAGATCAGCTTCTCAGTATTTCCTACCCCAGCCTTGGGGTGCTAACATATCACAGAGGCTTTAGGGTATAAAACGGGATGAACACTCAACCATGAGAAAGATCTGCGTTCTCGTTCTATGGCAGTGGGACCGTTTGCACTCATTTTTCCTCTCCAGAGCCCGAGTTCTCACCGGCGACAGGTTCACCCGATTTCTGGGCGGGAGTGGGGAATGAAAGATCCGGTGAGCTAATACATGCGCAAGGATTTGGTGAATTTTAAAGCCCGGTATCTTGAATAGTATCGCTATCGAGTACAAGGTAGATTATCAAAGGAAATGGGCCACCAGGGAGGGAAGTGGAGGAGAAACTACGAGGCAAACGGTAATGCGAGGCCCGCTTTGAAGGTGGAGCAGGGTGACAGCCCTGGACAGTAGTCCGACAATTTCTATGGTGCAAGAAATACTGTCACCACGGCCAACCCCAAGCTGTGAATGTGACATCACACTGAACTTGGAGTGAGGCAGAAATGCACAGAATCAGATCTTGGGAGCCAGCACAGGCTGGTACCAGCTGATCATGGCAGAATGACTCCCCAGAATGCAAGGCTAAGGTGGCATTTAGGGGAATGGGGACCAGGTATGGGAGTGGCTTGGATAGCTTGGGTCAGGGCTCGCTGTGGGGCTGAGGGAGATGGTGGGTGGTAAAAAGAACAAGGAAAATGCTCTGAGAGAAACATCCTGCTCTGTCCTCATGGAACTCCGAATGACCTGTCTTAACATTCTGTCCATCAGTGGAAAGGGATGTCACAGAACACTCACCCACACACGCCATCAAAAAGTAAAATGACAGGTGGTCATCCCAGAGAGGGGACTCCCAGGCCTCAGAGAACAGGACCCTCCTATTATGGAACATTCTTCCAGCACGGGTACCATGCACGCACGACAGGCCCACCTGAATCTGCTTTCAAGCCACATAACTCTCAGTTTCATTCCTTGGGCTTCCTTGTCAGCCCCAAGTTAATTAGGGCCCAAGCGCTGACAATCCACGAGGTATTTTCTCTCTCTGGAAGGGTGCAGTTAGAGGAAAAAAATCCCTCTGCAATTCTAAGTTTCCCATACTGTGGGGGTTTGGGTGCAAGAGGTCATTTGGTTTTTTTCCCCAAGCCACACTTTTACCACTACCAAAAAGCACTTAAAGGAAAAGATCTGTGAGAATGTGTCTGACCTTCCTTGAAGTGCAGATTTTTCAGCAGACAAAACCGCTATCTCGTCCTTCAGCGTTCGGAGCTGTTTCTCATAATCGGAAATCACTTCGGGCCGCTGCTCTGCACCCCGCTTGTCAATGCCTCGCTGATCCAGCCTCCTCTGCTCAGAGATCCTTGGTTCTGAGGCTCTAGGCTCCGAACACCGATGCTCTGTGCTTCTGTGTTCTAAGTTTCGGTGGCGGGAGTCCTCCTGGATTTGAAGAGATTTAAGCCTGAACAGAAAACAAAAATTGAGGAAAGAAAAGAGAAAGGGGGGGAGGATGGAGGAAAGATACTAGAAACGACTGGCATACCTAACACACAGAGGCTACTCTACTTAGCAATGCCACTCCTGTGTTGGACTACTCTGATGAAAACACAGGAGGAACAAAAACCAATCAGAAAAGAGCAGAATTGCCAGGGTCAGAGGGCCACCCCACGTCTGTAGCTTGCATGAAAAAGGCTCCTGAGAGAGGAATACATAGGCAGATTCTTCAGCAAAAGCAGAGTGGGCCTATAGTCATGCTGTTCTATATTAGGCTGATCCTAACTGCACAGAGTCTGGAAGCACTGGACCTCCAAAACCTAGGTCCTGAAGCTGGCCAAAGATACAATCTCCTATCTTCATTAGCTCTTTGATTCTCTGAACAGATGGAATGGCTGGGGGTGGGGGGGAAGGGGGATGACAATGGAGATGGGATAACATCCACAGTACTAGGACAAAGGGTGAATTTGTAAAAAAAATAATGTATTCTAGAGACAAAGCTTTGGAAATAAACTGGCATCCTTATAAAGATGCAGAGAAGCAGGGCACCTGAATGGCTTAGAGGGTTAAGCCTCTGCCTTCAGCTCAGGTCATGGTCTCAGGGTCCTGGGATTGAACTCCGCATCCGGCTCTCTGCTCAGCAGGGAGCCTGCTTCCTCCTCTCTCTCTGCCTGCCTCTCCACCTACTTGTGATCTCTCGCTCTGTGTCAAATCAATAAATAAAATCTTTAAAAAAAAAAAAAGATGCAGAGAGGCATGACTAGCTAAAGCAGGAGCAAAGCCGCACAAAGAGAACGTGCTGTGATGAAAAGGACGATGGAAGATGAAAAGGTAAGGGCTAAGGTTAAGAAGGACACAGAGAAGCTAAAAACACAACAGCAGAATTAATCGCTGCACTGGAAATGATAAAGACCAGAATTGCTGCTATAAGAAATCACTGAATTATAGTGTCAAAGAATTTGAGAAGGTCTATCAAGTAGGAAATAAGAGTTAAAAATGATGGTGAGAGCTCTTCCCCTAAGCAGACTGAGACGACCTCTGAAAATGGCCCGCTATTCATGTGACCCAGAAAACCATACAAAATCATGCAAATCTAGAGGTTCAAATCTTCACTTTCACTTTAAGAACACACGTGAGCCTCCCCAGGCCATCAAGGGTATGCAGATCTGAAAAGCCACCAAGTATCTGAAGGACATCGCTTCGCAGAAGCAGAGTGCCCTCCCGTCGCTACACTGGTGGGGATGGTAGGTGTGCCCCGGGGCAAACAGTGAGGCTGCACACAGGGTCCATGGCCCGTGAAGACTGCTAAATTATCCCTGCGCATGCTTAAAAATGCCAAGAGTCATGATGAACTTAAGGGTTTTGATGTCAGTTCTCTGGGCACTGAGCACACCCAGGTGAGCAAAGTTCCCCAAGATGTCACAAAGAATTTACAAGGCTCATGGCCGAATTAACCCCTACATGAGCTCTCCCTGCCACATCGAGATGGCCGTTGCTGAAAAAGAGCAGACTGTCCCTAAACCAGTAGAGGAGGTTGCCCAGAAGAAAAAGATATCCCAGAAGAAATTGAAGAAACAAAAATTTATGGCCCAGGAATAAATTTTGCATAGAATAAATGCACATAAAACTAAAGAGAGAGAGAGAAAAAGAAAATGATGGTAAGAGGGGAGGGAGATGTAGACAACAGAGCAGTACTCCCAGCTACGATGTTGGGGTGTTCCTGAAGAAATCAGAACAAGGGAACATGTGTGAAGGCAGCAAAAAGATACTGTGTGTGTGTGTGTGTGTGTGTGTGTGTGTGTGTGTGTGTGTGAATACAACTCCCACTTGCTTATTTGGTCGGGGGGTAATCAAAATTAGGATCAATGAAGGTATAGCATCTTATACCTGTCAGAATGGCTGGAAAGAAATAACAAGTGTTGGTGAGGATGTGGAAAAGGAAACCCTTGTGCACTGTTGGTGGGAATATAAATTGGTGCAGCCACTGTGAAAAATGATATGGAGTTTCCTCAAAAAATTAAATATTGAAACCTAATAATTCCACTACTGTGTATTTATCCAAAGAAAACAAAAACATTAATTAGAAAAGATATGCACACCCCTGTATTTATTGAAGCATTATTTACGATAGCCAAGATGGTAATAAGCTTCCATAAGTAACCCATGTCCATTGATAGATGAATAAATATGTGATATATGTATATGTGATATGGTGTGACATACATATTTATATATATGTCTACACACACACTATACACACACACACACACACACACACACACACACACACACATAGACATACAATGGAATATTACTCAGCTATAAAAAAGAACTAGATCTTGCCATCTGTGACAACATGGATGGACCCAGAGGGTGTTACTCTAAGTGTAATAAGTCAGAAAGAGAAAGACAAATGCCATAAGATTTCACTAATATGTGAAATTTAAGAAAACAAAACAAACGAATCAATAAGCAAAAAGCAGAAACAGACCCATAAATACAGAGAACAAACTGGTGGTTGTCAGAAGGGGGAGGCATGGGGAGATGAGCAAAGGGGGCGAAGGGGAGTGGGAGGTATAGGCTTCTGCATAGGGAAGAAATAAGTCATAGGAATAAAAGAGACAGCATAGGGGATATAGTCACCCGTACCATAATGGAGTTGTAGGGTGACAGACGGTAGCCACATTTATGAACATAGAATAAGGTACGTAGAGAGCTGTCAAATCGCTATGTTGTACATCTGAAACTAATAGTGTGTCAACTAGTATGTGTTTATGTTCTCCTCCCAGAAATTTATATTTAGAGAATAATCTGAAATTTAAACATTTGCTGCAATGATTATCACAATGTTATTTCCAATGTTTAAAATCAGTATCAAAGTAACTATTCAATATTAGGGAGATGTCTAGATAACAGAACACAATGCATCTATTTAAAACCAGGTTTTGCAGTATTTTTTCTTAGTACTAGAGAAAAACAATGTTAAGTGAAAAGATGGGGTCCAAAATTGTATACTTATGCTGATTTTTACAGTAATAAGTCCAATTTTTAATGGGTCAATTGGAAGAAATTGCAAAATGGTAACAAGAACTAGCTCTGGAATTTTGAAAGGGTCATTGGGTTCCTCTTATACTCTGTTGTACTTTGAAATTTTTCTATACTAGATAGCTAACGTTCTTGTGGTAAGAAAAAAATTTTATAAAATTAATAAAAATATTTCTGCCTTTCCTCTTTGTGAATAGCTTCTTTTGTATTTTAATGGAGCACCAAAAAGCTAAATTCAAAGATCAATCAGCAGGCTGCAAAAATCCTGTCATTTTTTTTTCCTTACTGCTTTTTTAGCTGATTTATTTCCTCCTCTGCAGCCAAAAGGGATATGGCCGATCTGTTCTTGGTTTCTTCAAGAGTCTTTTCAGTTTCAGCCAGACTGTAAGAGAAATCAGTAACTAAAGACAGATTTTCCAAAATTGGCAGACTTTCCAAATCAAGGCATAGGTTCTCCCAGGAACTTTTGGCATATGATATAAATTCAACATAAACAAGATCAAGTTATGAGACATCTGCATCCAATCAGATGCCATTGCAAATATTAATGTTGTGCTTGTATGCAAAAAATATGCAGGCATTCTTTCTCAAGGTCAAACGCAAAGACATTACAAAGTGGCTACCACCAAAGAGCTTATGTAATAATTACTAACATTAGAATGTAAAGGGCAAAGAAACTTGTTCCCTTCCTCCTTCTCTCTCTCCTAATTCATCTGTTCTAATCACACTAAATCTTCAGGCTGCCTCTCCCTATAAAATCTCCATTCCTAATACCATTTTCTGCAGTATTCTCATTACTTTACACTGTAGAGTTGCATTTGACCTAATTTTCCCAGACTTCCTAAATATAAAGAAAAAATTATTTGCCCACCTACAAAGAAAATCTTCCAAAGTCAAACTTGACTACCAAGTATTTCATGCCTCTGACTTCCATAATTTATTGAGCATGATTTTCCTGAATTTTCAACATAGCTAGGTCATTGTCAGTGTCAAGGACTCTCTTCATTGTAGACAAATCATAACAAATCATATTATTTCTTTAAGTCTATTTAAAATTTTAAAAGAAATGGGAATGTGTAGATGACATTGGATGGAGACCAGTGGTTCTCCATTAAGTTGCCCTAGTCCAGTGAGAGATCATAGGTGGGCAAAGGTTTCTTGACTTCTTGGACCCTACTTCCCTGTACTATCCAGGTTCTTTCATCCGAGGCTGAGAGAGTGCAGTTGCTGTCTAGACTCACACTAGTCTTCTTCCTTTCTTTTAGATGGAAGAATGGAAGGTCAAACACTGGGGTCCTCCCCTAGGCAGTGAAGCAGATAGAGAAATAATGGTCTAGCAGGATTCCTACCAAGTTCCCACAGATCCCAGCCGATCAGGCAATACAAGAGGTGGTGTGATTACCCAATGTTCCTTCCCATCTCCTCCTCCTCCTCATCCCCTCACAGGCAGACAACCTGTGAGTGGTCTTGCAATTGTTGCCCCGACTGTCTCAAGCAGTCTCCCCTTCTCCGGAGTGCCTCCAACATTTGGTTCACACTAACAGTCTCACTACAAATACACTGTGAACTACTTAAGGGCAAGAATTATTTTTTTACTTATCTTTTTATCCCCAGCATCTCAAATAGTGCCTGTGAACGTGGTAGTGATGAATGAACACAATGTCTAAAGTCTTTTAAAAAATGCCAAAGTAGCAATAACTTCATAATAGGGCTACTGGCGATTAAGAGGAAATTGCTGTGATTTAATTCAAAGGTGAATATGTTACAGGTTTTTAAAAGTATACATGGAGGAAAAAATTAACATATTTGTCATGAGAAAACTAGAAAATTAAAAGAAGCAAATAAGAAGTAAGGAAGGAGAGTATGAACAGGAATAGTTGTGTTTTTCTCTTAAGACATGACACTCATGTGTGAACACATGTACATACAACCAAACATACATGCTAATTTGGCACCCCTTGAATGATATACAGAGAGAAGAAAGAGAGTCACATTCAGGTGCCAAGCATTATTTTAAGCAAGTTAATGTATTTTATTTATTTTTTATTAGGGATTTATTCATTCATTGAGGATATACCATGTGTCAGGCATGATGTTGGGTGCTGGGGATACAACAGTGTCAGAATAGCAGATACAAGATAGTAACCCTTTGTGGCTTCTAGTCTGGTGGATCAGAAACATGCAAACCAATCTTTTCAAGTTCCAAATTATGGTAAGAGCTCTTCTCAGATCACTGCAAAAGAGAACTACGGAGCTGGGGTAAGGAAAGACCTTTCAATATACGTGGTCACAGAAAGACTCTGAGAAAGTTACATTTCAGCTGAGACCTGAAAGATAACAAAGAAGCAGTGAGGCAAAGAACCAGAGAGAGAGACCGCCATGTTTCTGAAAGAGCACAAAGGTTTCAAGGTGAGGAAGGGGACCACAGACTAGGTGAGGAGAGCCTGGCATGAGATGAGGGTGGAAAGGGAGGTAGGGCCAGATCACACAGGACTTTGGAGAGTCCTGGTAAGGAGTTTAGAATTTTTTTTTCTAAGTGTGAAAGGAGGCTACTAACAGCTTTTAAGGCGGGGTCTGCCTTTATTAATTTCTATTTGTGAAATGGATTATAGTAGAGCAAGAATGAAAGCAGGGAAGTCAGTTGGAAGACAACTGGTTGAAGAAACAGGTATCAGGCCCTTGAACTAGGACGATGGAGGTAGAATAGGAAGAAAAGGACAAGGGTGGGAGAAGTTTAGCAGGTAGATTCAACTGGACTTGCCAATAGATAGGAGATAGGAAATGAGGACATGTGGGATTCATAACCAGAGCCCAAGTATAAAATCTAGACATCTTCCTTTCAGAGAATTCATCAAACTTGGGCAGATCCATCCCCATTCAGCACTATAGAATTTGCCCCTTCGGAACTGAGTCAAAACCAATCTGGTCTCCACAAAGTTAGACACGGGGAATCTCCTTAGTGGGCCACTCATTTCACAGCCGGTAGCACCCTGACTTTAAAGACAAGTAGAGTAAGAAAGAAGAGACTTAGCTACTATAGAATGTGGAGGACAGAAAGCATCATTTGTGATGCCTTAAAAAAATAAGAACCATAGGTGGGTTGAAAACCAAATGAAACTAGGAAATCCAAGGTAAAGGAGCAAATACCTTCCTCTGTGCAACTTTCAAATGAGATGCACATGGCTTGGTGGGGGGAGAGGGGGAGGATGCATCTAGATAGTGTACACATGAATGATAAAGCAAACAGTGTGAAAGGAACATGACAGTGCCTATGGGTGTCCTTAGTACTATTCTTACAAATTTTCTGCATTGGAAATTATTTCCAAATAATTTTTTTTTTTTTAACAAAACGATGTAGTCATGGTTCCTTGAACCCTGATGTTCCTGATGGGTATTTACAGAGCCATAATGATAAGAGAGGGAGATACAAAGGAATTCCTGGCTCCTTTTGGTGTTGATAGAAGTCAAAAACCAGCAAAGTCTTAAAGCCCTGCCTCACAGCTAGTGGCAAACAGAAGGGCCTGGCCAGCAGCAGTTGCCAGCAAATTCTACAGAAGATTTAACCAGACAAGCCACAAATCAGCACCCCTTGGCACAAGACTCTACTGCCCAGTTGGAAATGAAGGAGCAGGAAGCCATAGAGCAGTACAAGACCAAAAGTTCCTCCTCTCCAGCCTGAGGCATCCCTCATGAGATGCAAACCTCCCTCTACTTCTAGATGCCAGTCTAAGGAAGGAGGGGGGCCAAGGAGACTCTTGGAGAGGGCCAAAACAAAACAAAACAAAACAATGCAAAAACAAACAAACAAAAAACCCTAACAGTAGTTTGAACTTGGAATTCACCAGATATTTACAGGAAAAGGGCTATAGTAAACCAGAAAAGAAGTGGTAAATGTAATTATCCTCACCTCTTTCCGAATCAGCTGATATTAGTTGAAGTAAGTTGCAGAAATTCAGAGGAGCTGTGCTTTTTTGCTTATTACATTTGTAAATGTTGACTGTTGGCAGTCATAAAACTGTTCATTGACAATGATTTCACTTGCAACATGAATGTTGGGTATGGAGGTGACTCTGTGTGTGTGTGTGTGTGTGTGTGTGTGTGTGTCTACGCATGCAAGCATGCACAAAGAAAAATGTCTGGAGCAAAATAAACCAGAATGTTAACAGGGATGAAATAACAGGTGATTTTCACCTTTATCCTTGTCTTTGTTGTATGCATTTTGAATTAGCAATGATTGTGCCTCATTAAACCTCCTTGGCTATGACACAACCACTTTTGTATGTCTGTATGTTGTATGCATTTTAAGAAGGAAATTTTTGTTACCTTCATGATCAAGCAAAACTAAGTCTGTAGAGATGCTTTCCTTAAAAGGAAATCTCATCAGAGAACAAGGCAGCGTGCCACACCTTATTCCATCACAAGCCCTAACCAAAGAGTTCCTTGCTGTCCTGTACATGTGAGCAGCAGAGCAAGGCTCCAATTAGGAAACACGGGTTTGATGGGTTTGGGCTAGCTGGGCTGCACGCAGTTTCATACACATTTGTCCATCTTCCTTAAGTGCAAATCCAAGGCTTGTGATTTTCTTTGCAGTGAATCCTTGAGCTTGCTACCCTGGCTATGCCACTGATAGCTGCTGCTGCCTGGCATTGCCTGACTTCTTTAAAATACTTTTTTATATCTACAAATTATTCCAAAATCTTGAAATGCTTATTCTTTAAAGAGTCTGACTTCTCAGACAGGGGTCTATACCCCCTAAAGGAGCACATCTGTCAGATGGATGTAGCCTCTTCCTCTTGCTCTTAATTTTACTCTTTGTCTGACCTTCTCTAACCTTCCCCATTTTGCATTTTATTTTTCTTTCAAAAGATTTTTATGTAACAATCTCTCTCTCTCTCTCTCTCTCTCTCTATATATATATATATATATATATGCTGATAATAGACCTCTAGAGAAGAAGAAGCTCCAGGAATGGAACCAAGGGGACCAGTGTCTTAGGTAATCTATTATAATAGAGAAATCTTATCCCCAGATTCAAAGACACCGGCTCCTTAATCTGTTGACTCTCTCTCTCTCTCTCTCTCTCTCTCTCACACACACACACACACACACACACACACAGTTATTTGCAGATGTCTACATTTTTCATGAGCCATTATTCCCCTCTCAAACTTAAAAATTAAGAACAAACAATTCTTTTTGGAAAAAGATAACTTGCATTCCTCTTACTCGTCTTGAACCTGGTTGAGTTGATTACGAGTCGAAGTCAACTCAGAGTCTAGTTGTTGCATGTCCCGATCCCGAACACCTGACTCTTTATGTTTCTCTTTATCAAATGTGTCCTGAAATGATATACAAATCAAAAAGAGTCTTGAATACATGAAGCAGCTTGATGGGTTGCAACACAATTATGCTGAGCAAAAGAAGTCAGGTGCAAAAGGACACAAATGCATTGTTCCATATATATGCAGTTCTAGTGCAATCAAAATTAATCTAGAACAATAAAAATCAGAAGAGTGGTTGCCTGTGGTGGGGAAGGGTAGGTGACTGGGAATTGGCACAAGGAGATGCTCTAGAGAGATGGAGATGTCTTATAAGTTAATAGGGTGTGAATTACACGGATATACACATTTATCGACCTATGGATTTCACTGCAAGTAAATTACACTTCAATTTTTTATTATACATCACATTTTTAAAAAGCCATTGAAATATCATCCCATATCTTTATCCTCAGGAGAATACCCATAGGGTAAAAATCTAAGCAGCATGTGAAAAATCCCTGGGAGAGAAAAATTTGCTTAAAACCGACTGACGTCTGTGGAGTGCTTACCCTATGTTAGTTGTTTTTGCATGTTTATCACATTTAATTCTCAAAATGGCCCTAGTGGGTCAGCAAAAGCATTGTCTCCATTCGGCAAGTGAGACACAGAAGGTTAGACGACAGACCCGGGACCAAAGATGAGTGGCCAGAATTGTGCCCAGTGACCTCCAAGCAGGAACCCTTTTGCCCCTGTCCTCCTAAGACTGACAAGAAAAGACTGCTCTATGTGCTTTAATTTGAGAATTTATGGAAATCCATATAATTGTTTAAAATCAAGGCTACTAATGTTTAATGACATCAGTGCCTTAAGCAAGGTATATGTTCTCTTTCCAGTCTGGGCTTCACCTGTCTAAAACTTGGCACTAACCCACAGAAATCACCCGCTAGCAACAGCAAATGATGGTACTCTTTGTCAGTCTCTGAGAACTAAGTTTCCAATTCGTTTCATTTCACTCTTTTAGAATTTGGAGCTCTCCCCCATCTAATGGTCTCTCCTGAGGCTCCGTGGTACCCTGACTGTGTGGACTAATCTTCATTCCAAAGTTCCTATTTAATGCTGAGCGTGGGCAATGTCCCAGATGTAGACCATCACCAGTCCCTTCTTCCAGCGGAGGAAGCAGAGGCTCGTTGATTAGTCTGAGGTCACACCGCTGGGAGGTAGGCAAAGCTGAGAGTTGAACGCAGGTCTGTTTGAAGAGAAAGCTGAAGCCATTATGCCACATGCTACTGTAAACAGAACCTCACTTTTTGGACCTGTGTCCAAAGTAGCGCTAAGTCCCTCACTAGGCAAAAGTCATCGCTTACATATGTCTGCATTCCCGGAGCCTGAACAGGGTGCTGAAAGTCAAAGGGGATCCTTTAGCATCCCTACCTGTAGAGAGGGCACCCTGCTGTCAACAGGTTTTCCCAGGGAAGCAGCAGTAAAGGAGGCCTCCAGCCAAGGCAGAAGGCGCGATTTGATTATTTCCACACCCTCGTAATGTCCGCCTGAAAGAACCCACAAATCAGGTCAGGGAGAGAAGTTCAGCAATACGCTGAGAGCACCAAGGACAGAAGCAAAAGAAGACAGAACCGGATGGGGAAACATGGGCCATTCTCACCTTCTTGGGCTGCCGTGGTGAGGATCCGAAAGAGCTGTCCTTGTACTTTGGAAATTTGTTCGATGAGCTCAAGGCAATGACTAAGATTTTGATCACAAGTGTTTGCCTGCAAAATCAAAACAGAAAAGTCAATGCAATTCCCTTCCTCTGGAACCCACTGCAGGGACACAAGGCCTGACTTTACCCAGGGACTCCTGGCTGTGGTATGCTCCCAGGCACAGAGACTGCCCTGTGTTCACCAAACCATCTTTCCAGTTCCTCCTGGGCGCACAGCTAGAATACTTCTCCCAGCCGCCCTAGCAGTTGGCAGCAGTCAGCAGCGATACAGCAGAGTTCCAGTCAATGGGAAAGGAAGTGCTATATGCCCCTTGCAGGTATGACCCGGAAGAAAACCCCTTGAGCAATTCTCTTCTCTCTCTCCTTCCCCATCAGCCAGCCAGATGCCAAAGACCCAGGAGAGGACCCCAAGGGCATAAAGGATGGTGGAGCTACAAGATTTGAAATTTGAAAGGCTATGCATCCAACACTTGCAATGATTATCACATCATTGAGAAAGTGTGTGTTTGTGTGTGTGTGTGCGTGCACGCACATGCAC